GAAATTCCGTCTCGACTCAGTTAAAATCAATCAATAGACATACGCTCAACACAGTCTATAGATTAGTTAATATCCGTCAGACACACTCTCTAAACAACAAGAATGCTAAATTGTCTTTTTTTGTGTGATTTTGGTAAGGATTCAAGCCCCGATGAAGCGTGAATGGGGCTGTATGAGGCCAGACTTGTGGAATCCACAAGTGGATGCATTAGCATCGTCACAGTTTCTCCGTAGAAGCCTGACTTACCATAGGACATTAAAAGTCGTATCTTCCTCTTTAAGAACGGATAATTGTGTTGAATACTTATGAACTGCACTTGTAGAGAAGTTGGATTGCTTAGGGTCAGGGCTAAGATCGGAATATCCCAAAGAGGTTGCCACCAACACCGGAGGATGGTCTCGAAACTAGCAAAAATACGTAATTCCAGGTGACGGCCGTCTGAAATGCAAGGCCTGCCTGGCAGAATGAATTGCCTCCCGATGATTCTGCAAAGTGCCAGTACACTCTCAGACCACGACGGAGGAAATGCAGTACATTTGAGTAAATATGCGCTTGTGCATGGATGTCGGTTTATAGTTTTATCGAAACTGCTTGTCATACCAACCCGGTAACCAGAGCACGGAGGACAGCCAAACTGGTAGCGCGTTTGAGTCGCACTAGAAGAAACCTCTGCTGCAATAGGAGACTTGACGTCCATCCCAGCCCGAGTATGATAAAATAATCTGCTAATTCACGACCGGGGCTGAAGCACAAACAATACACCCCTTTATGACCGATTGCGAACGCTTTCTGTATAGCCTTATTGAAGAATAAGCAAATGAACATCAACAAAACTTATCAAAAGAGCAAGCCACTACTTCTAGACGTAATAAGTAGGCTTAAAGACTATCTGCAATTCTTAAAAAGGGTCTTATTCACTCAAGATCCCTTGAAGTGATTTGTCCACAATTAGAGGGGTAGTCCTCATGATGTCACGATGCCCTGTGACCTACTGGCGCCCGTGACTAGTTGATAAAGCGGAGAAGATACGCCACGATAATCACGACCCGGTATCAAATCCCTTTGAGGGTACTGGATGAGATAAACTTTTGAGGGGCAAGGATAAATGAAAATCAAAAGAATCGTAAGGCTCATTCATCTTAATGTGGAATAAAAGTCAGCTATCACTCCTTAAATTGCCTAAAGCAACCTAGACTGGTCAAATTCTAATTCAAGTTACTCTTAGCCAAATAACAAGGCTTCGAAAGTATCTCTAGAACCGAAGTACAAAGTCCAAGCATCCAAGGTGGTTGAAGATGCTGCATGAGCCCTGTGTAATGAATCGAAAGCCCCCCAATGCCATTAAAGTTGGCATAGCTCCGCCTCTCCAAACACTTTCTCCTCCTCGGTTGCCAGTGGAGTAGGAATACAATGTCGTCCTCCTCACACAACTTCCCTCGAAATGGAAATGAGCCTAACAGTTGTAAACCAAGAGATTCATCAAAAGCTAACTTTTATTTGCATATAATAATAGTTTACCAAGCGCCAAGTCAAAAAAGATAGCGATGTCTGTCACAAGACAGACGAAACTTCAGCACTGATTTATTCCGGTCAAGGCAGGAGGAAAATAAAAATCGCAAAAAACATTTGCAAAATATAATTAAATGACAGCCTCCTTTGGAGGCCTTTAAGAATAAGTTGGTTTGCGACGGTTTGATTTTACAATGCCGTATGGAATATGGTGGCGCGCCGTCATGGGCGAATTCAGGCCTGCTTGTGCGTGTGTGTATGCTTGTCAGATGACCTCGTTAATCGAATAACAAACAACCTAAAAGCAGACTCACGTGCTCAAATGACCAATGAACCGAATCGCTGAATCAGAGACCTTGTTTCGTTGGGTGATCTCAATGCCCGGATTCAGGCCAAACAGTCCGATGTGAGGGCTGCCTTTGATTGAAGCAGGAAAGGTTGGTTGACTCGTCTTGCCAACGGCGTCTGGAGACTAAAGTGTATATGAGGCGTTTGGTACAGTATCGTGGTCATGAGAGAGTTTGTAGAAATGAACATCTTAAACTTAAAGACAACTTGCCATGAATAGTATTGAAGCCTTTAAATGTTGATATTTCACCTTTTCGTGGTAACTATTACAGGCTTGCTCTAACGCTAAACGGTACCTCAAGCAATGGAAAAGGACAGTGCCTACAAAATTTATTAAAGAATCGAAATTGTTTGACCTCATTCTCGCAACTTATTCGTGCTGTTAGAGCGGCCTAGATTGATGCACCCAGTCCAAAGTCTTCTGCTATTGTCTTGATAATTTAATGATAGGATAGCATATCTCTATTATACTAATAATGTTAAGCTAATTCCATCGGAACAACGAGGCCAATTCATGAATCCCATCCAACCAACTTGTTGACATTTGCATGCAAATCTTTGTTTGACATTTATGATCGTCCAGTTTTTTCCTTTGCTCCAGACTATCTCAACTCACAAATGGTAGTTACTGGGAGAATATTAATTTCACTAAGGAAGAGGATCCTATTTTGAATAGGCAGCTATTTGACCCTATTTGGATTGCTGATAGGAGGTATCGTTTTGGGCTTGTTGTCATAACGAAGGTTGGCAATTCCACCAAAACTTGTATGATTTACTCCATACAATCATAAATTAGGCTATCCACTGTCTGTTAATGAATAAGACAAAATTGGGAGAACAAGGTCAAACCGAGGAGACGTGGAGCCGCAATAAGCCTGCTCTTTGCTGAAGGTTAACGGGAGGATGATGCAGGCTTCCCCTTCACACTTGACTAGTTTAGTTCTTTCTGGACGGCAGTTAAAGCACTTCTCTTTGTTGTTTTGGGAAGTATGCCGGCGTCGATGCTTTTCGTGCATGGTGGCAATTTCGACTGAGGGTCTATCCGGTTGTAAGACCAGGTCTAGCAAAACTTAATAAATCATAAGTTCCGCAGCAAAATGCCAAGGGACATGTGGAGCTAAGTGGGATTGTCCAGAGATTGAAGGCTGGTTATGGCAGTTTGGTAATTTAGTCAAAATAGTTATCTGTGATAATCAGACCATAATAGTAATTAATATCAATTAGTTATGTACGTTTTGCGTATATATTAGGAGAAATAAGTACAATTTGTGACAGACGCAAACTGACATGTGAAACAAAATATCATTTTTTCAAAAATACTCCATCTTTGGAGCGTTGGCTGCCTAGACATGCGCGGAAATGCCCTGGAAATAGTCCGTTTTCTATTGTCACATTATAAGAATTCACCTGATCTCTAGGTATTTGTCAAGCGGTCAACATTCGTATTTCAGTTTCAGATTTTGAGCAAATAGTAGAGTAACAGACCCCAATTTTTTTAGCATTATTTGCTCAAATATGCGCTAAAAATTTTATGCGAAGAAAAGTTGGGTTTCGATAAATCTCTTGTTTCATATTTGTTTAACTTACTTCCATTTCGAGTGAAAGCATTTGATAAAGAGATTTGCAGGTCGATCCCAGCAGAAGACGAGGATGGATTCGTTGAATATGGTTGTAAAAATGAAACTCTGCTCTGCTGATGTCCGTTATACGACGGACGAAAGCTTAGCACGAATCGGAACCAGCGTCAGCAAGAACCCTCCAGCAAAACCAATCGACAGCTGGTTAAAAGGAATTAGCCATCATCTTCTGGTAAAATTGACCTTTGAATTTCTTTACCAAACACTTTCACTCGAAATGGAAGTAAGTTAAACAATGCTAAAAATTTTCCACACGAAACTGGGCTCAATTTAGCATGTATACTTTTATTGAAAGCCACTTTCTTATTTCGCGCAAAATGGGTTTATACGAAGCAGATTAGCCTGTTTATACTCACAATTAAATACATATTCTATATTAAATGAAATACAGTGTTGTAGAGATTTAATTAAGAATAATTGGACATAGTTAATTTCCGTATTATAAGAGGGTTTCTGGACTACTAGTTGGTCGTATATAAGAGCTGTACTCAACTGCCTATTTTCATCATCTTAAAAGAGATAGGGTGAATACG